AATCAAGAGAACGAGTTAGACAACTGATGGACAACAGGTTAAAAGGAGACCCAGGGACATAAGTTCGCCAAGACTAAACAGCGCAGGAGACAATGGGACGACCAACTCCGATAGTGGTGATCTCAATGGCACGATGGTCACCTGACCGAGACAAGCAAAATCATATGTCACCGGTCAAAAAAAAAAATGAAACTCCGGCGAATTCTCCGGCAGCGGCGGATTCGGTGACTGCTCCTGCGGCAGCGGTAACAGCAACGTGAACTAGTACACCAGGTAAGTTCCCAGGAAAGAGAGGTGGGTCACTAATGGACACACTTAAATACCAAGTCTTTCCTTGCCAGAACTTTCCTAAACATGTACTTTCACACTACCAAATAAAATCCAGTGACAAAGATAATTCTTTTCTGATGTGGAAGATCAGTTTACCAGCAGCGGTGGGGCGGCTCCAACATTGGACAAAAGGCGGAAAAAAAAATTCAAGATAACCTTAAGGCGGAAAAAAAAAAATTCAAGATAACCTTAAACTCTAGATACTATGTTGAATATAGAGAAAATAGGGTTTGGAATTAATTTCCCTTGTGTATAAATCACACATAAGGTGTTCTATTTATAGTAGAGAGATACAACTAAAAGAGTAACTGAAAGTAACAGAATAAACAGAAGATATTGTTTGATATTGTCGTTACCAATATCTAACAATATCTTAACAATATTAAATAATATCTAAACAATATCTAACACATAAAAAGGGAAAAGGGAATGTAGTAGCTGATGCACTTTCTAGGAGACATTCATTACTTTCTATGCTTGAAACTAAATTGTTTGGTCTTGAATCTTTGAAAGACATGTATGTGAATGATGTGGATTTTGCTGAAACTTTTGCTGCATGTGAAAGGTTTTCTAAAAATGGTTACTTTAGGCATAATGGATTCTTGTTTAAAGCAAATAAATTGTGTGTGCCTAAGTGTTCTATTAGAGAGTTGCTTGTGAGTGAATCACATGAAGGGGGTTTGATGGGTCATTTTGGGGTTCAAAAGACTTTAGAAATTTTGCAAGAACATTTTTTTTGGCCTTATATGAAACGTGATGTGAATAAGTTTTGTGATCATTGCATTGTGTGTAAAAAGGCTAAATCTAAGGTTAAGCCTCATGGGTTGTATACTCCTTTACCTGTTCCTGAATATCCTTGGACTGACATTTCTATGAACTTTATTTTAGGGCTGCCTAAAACAAAGAATGGAAAGGATTCTGTGTTTGTTGTTGTTGATAGGTTTTCTAAGATGGCACATTTCATACCTTGCAAGAAGGTAGATGATGCTTGTCATGTGGCTGATTTGTTTTTCAAGGAAGTAGTAAGGCTACATGGGCTGCCAAGGAGCATTGTGAGTGATAGGGATTCAAAATTCCTTAGTCACTTTTGGAGGACCTTGTGGGGTAAGATTGGTACTAAATTATTGTTTTCTACTACTTGTCACCCACAAACTGATGGTCAAACTGAGGTAGTCAATAGGACTTTGGGCACATTGCTTAGGACTATTTTAAAGAAAAATCTTAAGACTTGGGAAGCATGTTTACCGCATGTTGAGTTTGCTTATAATAGGGTTATCCATAGCACCACTAATTGTTCACCATTTGAGATTGTGTATGGATTTAATCCTTTGACTCCTCTTGATTTGTTGCCTTTGCCTAACATTTCTATGTTTAAGCATAAGGAAGCACAGGCTAAAGCAGAATATGTGAAGAAGTTGCATGAGCAAGTAAAAGCTCAAATTGAAAAGAAGAATGACAGCTACGCGAGGCAAGCTAACAAGGGTAGGAAAAAGGTGGTGTTCCAACCTGGTGATTGGGTTTGGGTACACATGAGAAAGGAAAGGTTTCCTGAACAAAGAAAGTCTAAACTTCAACCTAGAGGAGATGGGCCATTCCAAGTCTTAGAGAAGATCAATGATAATGCTTATAAGATTGATCTACCAAGAGAGTATAATGTAAGTTCTTCTTTTAATGTTGCTGACTTGACTCCTTTTGATGCAGGAGATGAATTCATAGATTTGAGGACAAATGCTGCCCAATAAGGAGGGAATGATGTGGACATAAAGGCCCAAGCCCATAACGAGAAGGATCAAGACCAAGATCCAATCTAAGACTTAGGTGGACCTATGACAAGAGGCAGGCTCAGAAAAACACAAGAGGCATTGCAATACAAAGTGACCAATTTGCTAAAGGCCTAACTATTAAAAGATCCAAACATGGATGAGTCTAGACCTATCACATGCATAGAATGTTTGGAGAGCTAGGAGGCCCAACTAAAAGATTTAGTTATTATTATTATTATTATTTTATTTGCTACAGTGGGGATTTGAACCCAAGACCCAAAGCTTATAATGCCTTCACTGAACCATCTGAGCAACTTAACTTTGCTTGGGATATTAGGATTTTAATTTATCTTTATTTCCTACAATGAGACAAACTCATAAACTTAAGTTGTATTAAACATTTGGAAATTCAGAATGAACGTACATAATATTCAGAATCACTTTGTGAGTTGTTGCTCTGCTAGGGTTCTTCCTTGCATCACTTGATCTTATCAAGAATTATTCGATTCTTGTGGCGATCCTTCTTAGCTTATCAAATATTCTTATTTTGGCGCCTACGGTATCTTTTATTTTTTTTGTTTTCTATTTCCAATCAAATCAACTCTTAAAACCTAACCCTAAATTGTTTCCGTTCTATTCGAGTGTCGTCACCTTTGCACACAACAGTTCCCTCTATACCCGGGGGCAAGTGAGAAATCCATAGGGAGTGGGTGGCAAGTACGGTTTGCCGTAGTGAGGGCCATGCAGCCCACCGGTATGATCGGAAACCACCACTCAAGGTGATAACCTTCCTCTTTTGGCACAAAGACTGACTATGGACTTAGTGCTAAGCATGGTTGGAAGACTGGAGAGTGGGGACCCTATAATGGGGGCACCTTGGGGGCCTAAGCCTTGGTGAGAACAGTTAAAACCTACCTTTGCCAACACACTTTTCTACAGGAAAACCCTACCTCGTGATTAAAACGTCATCTCACGTGTTCGCGGATGAGTGAATTGTGTGTGCATTTGCTTGTTGCATTTGTTTGTCGCATAGCATAACCAAACAACAGATAAAAATGGAAAAATCGCAAAAATATTTTCGCAATAAACACCCTTATCTCAGATAGTCTGCCTTTTAGCTAGCCTAGTTTCAGGTTCTTTGTAAGCTAAGTAGCCATGCAGTCTGACAGAAGAGATAAGGGACGCTAGACATTATTCTTTCGCAATAAACCATTTTATCTCGGACAGTCTGCCTTTTAGCTAGACTGGTTTCAGGTTCTTTGTAAGCTAAGTAGCTACGCAGTCCGACAGAAGAGATAAAAGGCTATAAAATACAAAAAAAATATATATCAAATCATAAAAACCCAACCAAATAAAAATGGGACCTTGTTCATAAAACATCAAATTCATCCATATAGATAGTTCAAAATATATATATATATATATATATATATATATACATACATCATGTAGAAACAAAACATGATAAATAAATAGAAAAAACAAACACTCCATGCATACCTACAATAAACATCATATTCATCAGCATGTATTTTGGTTTTAGAAAATGGAGGGGACTAGTAGAAAAATGAAGAAAGTGGACATTCCCCGATACCATGCTGAGAAATTGGAACAACTTTGCGCATTGATGCCACCAGAGGTCCGCTCCGACTTCGAAAAATCCTATGGACAGATTCTCGACCTGTTGAAGATCTATGTCGATCCTACTTTTATCAGGGTTCTAGTTCATTTTTGGAACTTTAGTCTGCACTGCTTCGAATTCTCGCAGTTCGATATGGTGCCCACTTTGGAGGAGTATGAGATTATGCTAAAATGGCCCAAATCAGCCGGGGTCCATATCCGTCATGGAGCATATACTTTTGTAGCCCAAGTCGCTGCCATCATCCGATTTCCATTTCGGCAGACTACCCTGATAGCAAAAGGGAATGTCCAGAGTTGGAAAGTCGCAATGTTAGAAGACCATCTGTCTGCTTTGGCTAAAAGGGAAGAATAGGTAGCTTTCAACAAAACCCTGGCTTTAATCTTATTTGGAATAATTGTGTTTCTCTTCCATATCGACACAGTAAACCAAACCATCATGGACGCCTTCTTTGCCTGGGACGTGAACTCGAAGAATCCTTTGCCTGCACTTCTTGCCGATACCTTGCTCTCGGTGGAATTCTGTCACCAGAAGCAAGGAAAAACACTTAGATGTTGCTCTTCACTACTTTTTTTGTGGGGAATCACACATTTTTATGCTTCTAGTCACATGGGGATGTTCCCCGATCCTTTGAGAAGCTTCTCCAAAATCCCTCTCCACCGACGCACGACCATGAAATGGAAGGTCGAGATAGAGGGATGGGACGTAAACTAATTATCCTGGGTTTGCCCTTGGTTCCGACCTGGCCCAGTCCTCATCAGATGTGGAGATTATCCGAGCATACCGTTAATAGGACTCAGAGGTTGCGTAGCCTATTCTCCAAGGGTGGCTATGAGACAACTCATGAGGACTCAAACTGCAATATCCCGGGAAGAGCTCGGAGGACTGTGTTTCTTCGAAGACCCATGCACTATCGCCAACTCGCTTGTTGTAAGAAGAGCATGGGAGAAACCAGTCTTCATGGGAGATAGAGAGCTAGGAAAAGCTTGAGTGGCTGCCCCTAGTGACTATGAGGAATGGAGAAGAAGTAGAGGGATGTCACAACCATCCACCTCACCTATTGTGTTCGCAAACAGTGAAGAGCAGCAAACCCAAGTCGACGCCTTGACTAGAGGATAGAAATTATGGGAGCCCAGATGAGGTCCCTTGAAGAAAGAGAGCAAGAATCTTTTGACGACGGCGACAAGATGTTATGGAAGGAGAAGAAATTAAGGAAGGAGAAGAAGTTAGGGAAAGAGAAGAAGTTTGGGATGGAGAGGAAGTAAAGGATGGAGGAGAAGTTTGGAATGGAGGAGAAGAATCGAAGTATGGAGAATAAATTAATGAAGAAGAAGTTCAAGAAGGAGAAGAAGTTAAGGAATAAGAAGTTTTGGATGGAGAAGAATTTAAGGATAAAGAAGAAAGTATGGATGGGGAAGAAGTTTGGGATGGAGAAGAAGTTAAGGAGGGAGAAATAGTTTGGGATGGGGAAGAAGTGAAATAAGGAAAAAAAGTTTTGGATGGAGAAGAAGTTAAGGGTAAAGAAGAAATTATGGATAGGGAAGAAGTTTGGGATGGAGAAGAAGTTAATGTTAGAAAAGTAGTTTTAAATCAAGAGGGGGGGTGAATTGATTTTTGAAAGTTTTTCGCAATACACAGATTATCTAATTCGAAAATTAAGATTACTTATCAATTCACAAATCACAAAGCAATCAAACAGTTTAAGTGCAGCAGCAGAAATTAAAGAGAGAAAGGTTAGGAAAGATTTCACCGGTAATTTTATACTGGTTCACCCAATACCAGGGCTACGTCCGGACTCCGACCAAATTCCAGCTGGGTTCCACTAGAATAGATGTTTTACAGACTCACCCTCTTACACCTATTCTAACTCTCCACCAAGAACCAAATTCCAGCTCTTGGAAACCTCTCGCAACCAAATTCCAGCTAGCAGAGAAACCAAGTGCCCAAATTCCAGGCACCACACACAAGAACCAAATTCCAGCTCTTGCTTTAACCTTTCCACCAAGAACCAAATTCCAGTTCTTGGCAACTTTCTACAACAACTGCAGAAAAACTTGTACCCAAATTCCGGGTACAAAACAAGTACAAATGAATGAATAGAAATTTAAAAGAAGAAACAAAGAAAGCTCAAACCGGATTACACCAATCCACGTCAGTTTCTTCTTCAAAGAAATGCAAAGTGCCTCAAGAAAGATTTCAAAAGAAGTTCACAAAAACAGTTGTGTATCTTTCTTGAAAAATGCTAATAGTTGTTTGTATTGATTGCTTGAATTGTGAAAAAGCTGATATGTGATCTCTATCTCAAAGTTTCAAGCAAATCTGTTTATAAAAGAGTATTTTCAAATCTGCTGCATTAATTAATCTGTTGAAAGTTTGTTTTAATCCGTTGAAATAGCCGTTACAATCTGTTAAAAGTCCTTTCAACCCATTAATGCGTTCATGATCTTTAACAGAAAATGTTTTAGTTGATACTGACCACGTTTTTATCAGTTAAAACGTTTTACAAACATTTTCTAAGTATAAAACAATCGATTGAATCACGTATTAATCGATTGATTTGTTTAAAAACCTTCTTATAAAACTTTCCAAGTTATTTTAACTGATATAAAGTCGTTTCAATCGATTGAAAATCTGCACATATATTTTCAAGTCATTTTAATCGATTGAAAGTTCGCTTTAATCGATTGAAAAGATTTTCTAAGTTATTCTAATCGATTGAAATGCGTTTTAATCGATTGAAATAAGTCTGATCGGTCATAATTCAATTCTGATCGATCATAACCAACTCTGATCGGTCATAATCTCATTCTGATCGATCATATCGACATCCAAAGTGATTTTAATCGATTGAAACGTGTTTTAATCGATTAAAATAATTCTAATCGCTCATATTTAAGATCTGATCGATTATATTGCATTCTGACCTATTACATTCGAATTCTAATCGGTCATAAAGAGTTTTAATCGATTAAAAGAAGTTTGTATCGATTAAAATATTGTAAAAACACTTTTTAAAACATTCTAAGTGTTTTAAATTGATTCTTTCAAACCTTTATCAGCTTAATAACTTGTTTAAGAAAATTCTTTGCCAAAATGCTTTTGTTTTTTTATTTGTTTAAAACTATTTTTGAGGCATTTTGCAAATTGAGTGAAGAAGCTTTATGCAGTGGAAAAGGTAAAGTGGTTTTACCTAAGCTTTCTGTTTAGACATACTAAGTCTTCAGCTCCTTTGTTCCGAGTGACTTGTTTGACTCGCTGCAGAGTTGACCCTTGACTTTATCTTTGACTTCATCAAATCAATGAGATCTTTGCTAGGATCACTTTCAGCTCTCCCCTATTTGATGAAGACAAACACCATTTTGAAAAAAAACAATCTCTGCAAAATAAGTCACTTGATAATGCAGTTAGGTGAGAAATATAAGAATGTAATAAAGTTTTGTTTCTCCCCCTAAAACTTATTTTTCCCCCTAAAACTTATTTCTCCCCCTAAAATGTTGTTCTTAAATTTATCTTAAAGTGATGCAACTTTTTCTCCCCCTTTTGACTTCATCAAAAATAGGGAATAGAAGAGAGAAGAGTGTAAGGTTTCGAAAAATATGCTCAAGTTTTTGAAAATACAAAAGTGAATCAATATTTCACTCATGAAAAGAATCAATTAAAGTTGATTCAAACTTATCTCCATTAACACGTTTGTAATGAATACAATTAACACGTGTAAAGATAAGGGAATCACGCTTTAGTAGCATGTTTACGTAAATGACCATTAACTAAAGCCTTTAATCTTTCTTCCCGTAATAAAAATCGATTAAAAACAGAGCATAATCGGTTAAAATGTTCTTGGTAAATGATTTTAATCGATTGAAAGAAAAGTTTAATCGATTAAAACATTTAAGATTTTGAAAACATGAAACTTTAGTAAAAATAATCGATTATTTCGATTTTCAATCGATTAAAACATGTTGTATAAGTTCATTTAATCGATTAACAAGATGTTGTATTGATTAAAACAATCAGCTTTTGAAAATGAAGTAATGTTTAATGCATATTTTGTAAAACTGATCATTTAGAAGGATGTTTTAACAATACTAACAGCTATCTTAGCTAATAGATCTATCGTAATAAAGTCTTATTTAGCTAAAGCTCTCGGGGATCTATTTAAATTCTATTTACGCCAATCTGATCTAGATTAGATCCTAAACCATATTTAACCAAAGGTTAAGGCAAATGTTCCTGGTATAACACCAGCTTAATATCACAATCCATGCAAACAATATAAAGATAGAAATAAGCGTAAGATAAAGATGATGAGGGGAACTAGTCATCCCAATTTCCCTGATTGAACCGCTTATCCACCAGACTTGGTGATCATTCATTTGATCCCCACCAATATCAAAAGATAATAGGCTTTCCTTTTTGCTGGAACTAATTTTGCTCTATCAACTATTTGAGTCAACAACTGCTGTCACTCTGTCAGATCAGCAATGAAACTTTTCCCGAAAAGAAATCTTTTAGCAGTTCTATCGTTATTATTGATCGCATTACAGTCCATGGTTGACACCACACTCGGAATTTCTACTACACATCGAGGCATAATCATGTACCGACCAAATCCCACACAGAATGCATGATACCATAAATTGCATGAATCACAGGTTAATGATGTACCGAGATAGGAATTTTCTTTCATAATAGCCAACCCATTTTGAACCCTGCAGTTGTCATTATCCAAGCAAATAACTCGCATTCTTATTAATGTAGTATGATGGGTGTTATTCTCACTTATAGTGAACCAGTCATCATTATCTTTTGAGGAATGTTATTCTGGTAGAGTGGGCAATGATTAGTAATGAGGACAGGTGATGACAATCAATCCAGAATTCAAAAACAATATAAAATTTATCCCTGTATCGACCATAAAACATACATTCCCTGTACTCACGTTATTCAATTTTTGAATTGTCTGTTCCAGATTGGTTCCCTTATAGTGTCACCTCGTGACATTGATGATTAAAGCAAATATTCAAAGTTGCACAGTTCCAATGAATTTCACCAAGAGTTTTGAACCAATGCATGCTCAAGATTATTTCAGAAATATTGCTAGGTAATATCAAGAAATCTAATGTAAACATGTATTTATTGGATTTCCTAGTAATGAATAACTTATTACTAGAAACAATTATCACTAAAAAAATTTTGATAAACTATGTTTTCAGTCCTAACAGTTTGACCTGTTTGTAACTAGTGTCTATAAGAAAAGTTACAGTCCATTCTTTGATAATTCCTTTGATTTTCAATGTATTACTACGCAAAGCATTCCATGTAAAGTATTAAGAGAAATGTAAACATCTACAGAGAATTAATCGATTGTTAAAATAACATTTTCATCTATGGATAACTTTCCTACATGTAAAGTTTGCAAGTATTTCAATCAGCAATAACTTTCGCACATTTATTCCACTAGTCTTAGTTTCTAATTAAAGATCTGTTCAAAGCATGTGCGACACAATTTACTGTGACAGTGGGTGAATCAGCTTAATTTGTTCTTGGGAATAATGTTGATTTGGTCAAAGAAATCTTTAAAGATTTATTGCAGATAATAGACACTGAGTTTTTGTTTTGAATTTCCCTGTCAAACTTCAATTAGATGTTATAAGTCTTGTTTACAGATCCTAATCAATTGATTAATCAACTCATTATCTATTAATTTGATTCTTGTCATTAGAGTTGAAAACATCTACAGTGAATTAATCGATTTGTTTTATAAAAGGATCGATTAGTTTAATACAGTAATGAAATCAATAACATGACACCGTAATTTAAATCGATTAAAACGTGAATGAATCGATTAATTTTGATACCTAAGTGTTTTTAGTTGATATACAGATATTATAATCGATTAAAACAATTAAACCAAAATCCTGAGATCAGTTCAATCGATTATTTCGATATTTCAATCGATTAAAATGGTACTGACAGATATCAGTAAGTTATTTTAATCGATTAATATTGTTTTATATCAATTAAAACAATTAATTTAAATACACGTAACCTGGTTTCGCAGCTTCTGATCTTCAAGGGATTCCTAGACTTGTTCCCTGCAAAACAATTAAGTATTTTTCTGGTACCCTTTATAATTATTGGGTCCTGATCATGTTATTTGAAAAGAATTAATCTTTGGAACCCATTTCATTCTCCCTTTAGGAATAGCATACTTTTTAATTCTGCAAGTATTTTACCGAATGCCCTTTCTTCATGCAAGTAAAAACATTTGATTGTAGAGTATGAATTCCTATTTATTTTTGTTTTACTCGGATCTAGATTTAAATCCTATTCCGCATTTGTCAAAAATTAATTTTTGAGATCCAAGTAATACATCTAGATTGGCTTGCCCCTGAGTGAACTTTGAAACAGTTTGAGATAAGAATTCAATTTTCTTTTGCAATTCGTAACAGCTTTTGCATGGTTTATTGCATTTACAATCGAAGTTATCATGAATCAGCTTCAAGAATTCATTATCAGTTTCATTTTCACTAATCTGCTTTTCCGAGAATCAACCTTGTTAACTAGCCGCTTATTTAATCCTTTTAGCCTATTATTTTCTTTTTGAAGTTTCTTAGCCTCCTCATGCATTTCATTAAATGCTTCTTGTAATGCATCATAGTTAACTATATTTGAAGAGGAGCTAGAACTTACCTGGCTGGTTTGTGGATTTTGACTCGCCATTAAGCAAAGATTGGCTTCTTCATTTTCGGAGTTATCCGTTGATGACGTATCATTATCATCCCAGGCTATGTAGGCTCTTCTTTTTGATTTTTCCTCTTTCTTTTCACTTTGTTTATTTCTTTCTGGACATTCCATTTTAACATGGCCCCGCTTTGCCACAACCATAACATTTAAAGTTAGAAGAATCAGCTTCTTTTCTCATACCTTTTGTGTCTTTCCTTGTCTTGGATCTTTTTCTTGAGGAATTTGTTGAATTTCCTAACAAGCAGTCCAAGGTTCTCATTATCTTCTTCTCGATTCTTGATTTTCTTCAACTTTAAGTGCAATGCTTCTGTTCTTCTTCTCGGAGACTTCTTGCTCATTGAATCTTGTGATTTCCATTTCATGTTCTCTCGAGTTTTCCAAACAGATGAGGTCGTTGTCATGGTGGACAGATCTTTTGATTCCGATATTGCAGTTGACTTTTGGCTGCCAGGACCTGTCAAGACATTTCAACACTTTAATATTTAATTCTTCCTTATCAAAGGTCTTACCTAGGCCCATTAAATGGTTGATGATGTGCGTGAAGCGTTTCGCACATCTCGCGATGCTTTCACCATTCCGCATTTTAAACAGCTCATACTCTCTTATCAAAGTGTGTTTTCTCGGCTCTTTTAACATCTCGCAGTCCCTTCATGAGTGACCTCAAGAACATCCCACATCTCCTTGGCGGAATTGCACTGGGACACCTCGAAAAATTCATCCATGTTAAGAGCGAGAAGTAATTATATTTTTTGCATTACGATCACTTTGAACTTTCTTCTTTTCTTCTTCATTCAAGCTTGACCATCCTTTATCTGTAATTAAAGGACCATTAGTAATAACATCCCAAGCATTTCGTCAATGGATTCAATGAAGATTTTCATCCTAATTTTCCGAAAGGATAATCTGCTCCACGTAATAGTGGAGGTCTCGTTAATAGATGCCCCCTCGAAAACTGTAATCTGTTCTCAGCCATGGATCAAGAGACTTGAATAACTTTCAAGCACCTTGCTCGATACCAATTGTTAGAAAAGTAGTTTTAAATCAAGAGGGGGGTGAATTGATTTTTGAAAGTTTTTCGCAATACACAGATTATCTAATTCGAAAATTAAGATTACTTATCAATTCACAAATCACAAAGCAATCAAACAGTTTAAGTGCAGCAGCAGAAATTAAAGAGAGAAAGGTTAGGAAAGATTTCACCTGGTAATTTTATACTTGGTTCACCCAATACCAGGGCTACGTCCGGACTCGACCAAATTCCAGCTGGGTTCCACTAGAATAGATGTTTTACAGACTCACCCTCTTACACCTATTCTAACTCTCCACCAAGAACCAAATTCCAGCTCTTGGAAACCTCTCGCAACCAAATTCCAGCACGAGAGAAACCAAGTGCCCAAATTCCAGGCACCACACACAAGAACCAAATTCCAGCTCTTGCTTTAACCTTTCCACCAAGAACCAAATTCCAGTTCTTGGCAACTTTCTACAACAACTGCAGAAAAACTTGTACCCAAATTCCAGGTACAAAACAAGTACAAATGAATGAATAGAAATTTAAAAGAAGAAACAAAGAAAGCTCAAACCGGATTACACCAATCCACGATCAGTTTCTTCTTCAAAGAAATGCAAAGTGCCTCAAGAAAGATTTCAAAAGAAGTTCACAAAAACAGCTTGTGTATCTTTCTTGAAAAATGCTAATAGTTGTTTGTATTGATTGCTTGAATTGTGAAAAACCGATATGTGATCTCTATCTCAAAGTTTCAAGCAAATCTGTTTATAAAAGAGTATTTTCAAATCTGCTGCATTAATTAATCTGTTGAAAGTTTGTTTTAATCTGTTGAAATAGCCGTTACAATCTGTTAAAAGTCCTTTCAACCCATTAATGCGTTCATGATCTTTAACAGAAAATGTTTTAGTTGATACTGACCACGTTTTTATCAGCTTAAAACGTTTTACAAACATTTTCTAAGTATAAAACAATCGATTGAATCACGTATTAATCGATTGATTTGTTTAAAAACCTTCTTATAAAACTTTCCAAGTTATTTTAACTGATATAAAGTCGTTTCAATCGATTGAAAATCTGCACATATATTTTCAAGTCATTTTAATCGATTGAAAGTTCGTTTTAATCGATTGAAAAGATTTTCTAAGTTATTCTAATCGATTGAAATGCGTTTTAATCGATTGAAATAAGTCTGATCGGTCATAATTCAATTTGATCGATCATAACCAACTCTGATCGGTCATAATCTCATTCTGATCGATCATATCGACATCTAAAGTGATTTTAATCGATTGAAACGTGTTTTAATCGATTAAAATAATTCTAATCGCTCATATTTAAGATCTGATCGATTATATTGCATTCTGACCTATTACATTCGAATTCTAATCGGTCATAAAGAGTTTTAATCGATTAAAAGAAGTTTGTATCGATTAAAATATTGTAAAAACACTTTTTAAAACATTCTAAGTGTTTTAAATTGATTCTTTCAAACCTTTATCAGCTTAATAACTTGTTTAAGAAAATTCTTTGCCAAAATGCTTTTGTTTTTTTATTTGTTTAAAACTATTTTTGAGGCATTTTGCAAATTGAGTGAAGAAGCTTTATGCAGTGGAAAAGGTAAAGTGGTTTTACCTAAGCTTTCTGCTTAGACATACTAAGTCTTCAACTCCTTTGTTTCGAGTGACTTGTTTGACTGCTGCAGAGTTGACCCTTGACTTTATCTTTGACTTCATCAAATCAATGAGATCTTTGCTAGGATCACTTTCAGTTAAGGAGGGAGAAATGATTATCGATGGAGAAGAAGTTAAGGAAAGAGAAGAAATTAGGGTTGACGAAGAAAGTAAGGATGGAGAAGAAGTTATGCAGGGAGAAGAAGTTAAGGATGGAGAAGAATTTTGGGATGGAGGAGAAGTTTGGAATGGAGGAGAAGAATCGAAGTATGGAGAAGAAATTAAGGAAGAAGAAGTTTAGGAAGGAGAACAAGTTAAGGAAGCAGAAGTTTTGGATGGAGAAGAAGTTAAGGATAAAGAAGAAAGTATGGATGGGGAAGAAGTTTGGGATGGAGAAGAAGTTTGGAATGGAGAAGAATCTACTAAGTATGGAGAAGAAATTAAGGAAGAAGAAGTTAAGGAAGGATAATAACTTTTTGATGGATAGGATAGGAGATTATAGTTAAGGATGGAGAAGAAACTTGGGAAATGTAGAATGAAGTTAAGGAAGCAGATGAAGTTAAGGAGGATGATGAAGAAGTTATGGAAGGAGAAAAAGTTAAGAATGAAGAACAAGTTACGGAAGGAGAAGAAGTTAAGGATCGACAAATAGTTTGGGATGGGGAAGAAGTGAAGGAAGGAGAAGAAGTTAAGGAAGAAGAAGAAGTTTTGGATGGAGAAGAAGTTAAGGATAAAGAAGAAAGTATGGATGGGGAAGAAGATTGGCATGGAGAAGAAGTTAAGGAGGGAAAAATAATTATGGATGGAGAAGAAGTTAAGGAAGGAGAAGAAATTAGGGATGACAAAGAAAGTAAAGATGGAGAAGAAGTTATGGACGGAGAAGATGTTAAGGAAGGAGAAGAAATTAAGGAAGGAGAAGAAGTTAGGGAAAGAGAAGAAGTTTGGGATGGAGAAGAAGTTTGGGATGGAGGAGAAGTTTGGAATGGAGGAGAAGAATCGAAGTATGGAGAAGAAATTAAGGAATAAGAAGTTTAGAGAGGAGAAGAAGTTAAGGAAGGAGAAGTTTTGGATGGAGAAGTGAAAGAATTAATGGTTGAGTTCAAGAGGGGGGGTGAATTGAACTTTAGAAAACTTTTTAGCAAATCTTACTTTCTCTTGGAAGAATGACTTATCTTTATTCAATTCTCGTGTAGGTAGGTTTGATTTTAATTACAACAAGTATATAGACAAGAAATAAAAGAGATGAAAGAAGAAATTCAACACAAAAGTTTATACTGGTTCACTCTCTACCAGAGCTACATCCAGTTCTTGACAAATCCGCCAAGTTCCACTAATTCCAAGTCCAAAATACAACCAGTAGATATTCACCAATCTACCCCAAGAACTATCTTAGAAACCCACAAGATAGACTCTTGAAAAAACCTCCCAGTAACCAAATCCAGTTACTGTAACAAGTGCAGATCCAAAATCCAACCTGCACAATCACACTTTACATAAGAGTATGAAAAGAAAAAACCTGGACTGCAACTTTATCAGTACAATTGTCCAGAAGCAATTCTAATTCAACACTTTCTCTCTTTGATTAACAACAATCTTGATCAAAGCACCTTATGATATGAAAAGATTCTAAATGCTCAAAGAAAGTCACGGATATGATAGCTCAAAGATTGCTTTCAAATGTTTTCTCAAATTGTATATTTCAAAAGATAGATCAAATCTGTATATATAGAGTAAAAGAGAGAACTAGAATGTTTAATCTGATAAAAGCTCATTCAGAGATGCAAGTGATCAATCAGAATGAAAATATAACAGGTCAGAATCGATTATGATCGATTAGAACAGTATTATGATCGATCAGAACAAGTTATGATCGATCAGAATCGAATTATGATCGATCAGAATGCATTTCAATCGATTAAAACGACGTTTCAATCGATTGAATTTATTTAAACCTTCATTCAATCGATTGATTCGTGTTTTCAATGGATTGAAATAGCTTAATGAAAAATGACAGCTCTCTGTTTCAATCAATTAAAAAACATTTCAACAGATTGAAATCCTGAAAACACTTAGACTGAAAAAATAGTCTCTCTGTTTCAACAGATTGAAAAACATTTCAACAGATTGAAATTCTAAAAACACTTAGACAGAAAAATAGTCTCTCTGTTTCAACAGATTGAAAAATATTTTAACAGATTAAAAATGTCAAACCTTTGATATTTGAAAAATTCATTAAGAACATTTTAACCTGTTGATTCTGCGATTCAACCAATTGAAATTTCGAATCTATAAGAACATTTCTTATGTTAAGTGATTTTAACAGATTGAAATTTCTTTTCAACAGATTGAAAAACTTAGTTTGTTCTTTTAATGCTTAAATGTTAGTTTTTCATGCAAAAAAATGATTTTACTGAGATGCATCATTTTAAGGTGCTTATCACATGATCTATTTTCCTATCAAGAGATTAAGTCCAAAACTCCTAACCTTATTCAACTACACACCCACAAACTAAACTATATCAACTTAATATGTCTTCATCAAATCCAACAAGTGCTTCAATCTCCCCCTATTTGATGGAGACAAATATCCACTGCACCTGCACAATTAATAACAGAACAGAGACATATATTTGTGGTGTGTGTGTAGTGACAGTTTTAAGCAAACACTTCTCCCCCTATTTGACTGCATCAAATAAAGTGTTTTAGTTACAGTCCAATAGTACCACGTAGGTACCCAAAATAAAACTAAACAATAAAAGAAAAGAAACAAGATAACAAAAGAAAATAAGACTTCATTCATCCCCGTTGTCGGGACCTTGACTAAACTGCAGATCAACAATCCTGTTGTAGATGTCTTCCAATTGATTGTCAATGTGTTAAAATCTGGCAATGAAATTTTCATCCAGATAATGCTGACGAGCCCGCAGAGCAACCGTCATCTCCATGTGCCTCCTCTGATTGGTTTGCAGTTCATTCATCTGATGCAGCATGGTTCTTTCGAACTGTGAGAGAGGCGTGCCACGGTCAGGTTGTGGAATATATGGAATCATTTCCAATGGAGACTGCTCCTCCATCGGGTCTGATGGTCTTGCTGCAGAGGTACCCGGAACACCAGTATCTTCACCTTCTTCCCCTTGTTCTTCTTCTTCATCTTCTTCTTCTCTTCTTGCTTCTTCTTTGGAAATCCATTCACCATCAATTTTAATGAACCCCATTTTATGAAGGACAGAATTATTGACCTCATTTGTTGGACGAACAGTTTCAACTAATTCACCTTCCAAATCAACACCAAAATGAGTTAAAAACTTAGAAATCAATATAGCATAAGGATATATGAATTCACTTAGCCGCTTAGCTTTGATCATGTGGTCCTTGATGACAAAAACCCAGTTCACCCTTATTCTGTGGTGAATGCAGTACATCAGTACCAAATCTCCTTCATTTAGTACTGCATGATTGCTCCCCCTGGGTGTGAGCTGCCAGGCCACAATGAACGCAAGAACCCTTTCCTCAAGCTTCAACTTTCCAGTGTTGAAAGAACTTACAAAGTCATGCCTATTCTTCAGACAAGAACGGAAGTACTGAACTTTGTTAAACTCTTCAACATCCGAGGTATACCCTTTGGTGACTTTTACACCTTCATCCTTGTCGCCGCCGTCCAAACGAGGCGGTCGGAGCGACGCGATGGTTTTATCGACCCTCTTGTTTTCGCGTTTTTTATTGGTGGTTACCACGTCTTCAGGCTGTCCGATAACCGGACTAATCTGGAGACGAGGTTTTCGAAAAGTGTCCTTGAGTTGTCCGACAACCGGGCTAACCCAAGGACTTATTTATTTTGGATTCTATGGAGTCGCCACCGATATTTTTACCATAAACATCGGAAAAGGGGTTTTAAAAGGCGTTGGTTTTCGAAAACCAACTTTGGTCATTAGAACCAGAGTTGGGTAAGGGAGTTAGTTACGTGCAAAGGGAGTATTAGTCCCTTTGCGATGCCCCTTTCGGGTTCCCTATGATAGGCCGGCTATTTGTAAATAATTAAACTTGGAAAATTGCGCTTTTACCCTTTTTATTATGCAGAATTTAAATATGTGACTACATTGCCCTAGATTCTATTGCACAATTTAAATAGCAGTAATTTTAAAGAAAAGAGAATGAGGATATGCACCTCCAAAGCAAGCTTTATATAAAAAAGAGGGTGCGTTTTGGCAACCCTTCACTCTACACTCTCAGAAACTCCGGAAATGCCTCGGAGGGATTCTTAGAGAGAGAAAATCTAGAGAGAAGGGAGAGCTCTTGTTGCTTGGTGTGTGGAAATGAGGGGGGGAGAGCCCCTATTTATAGTTTTTCGCGCTGTCAGGGTCCAGACCGCCAGTCTCGTCTAACAGGGTCGAGACCACCGTCTCGTAATTCGAGACCGCCGTCTCATTCATGTCAGCAAGTCGAGACCGCCGTCTAGGAAAACGGGACCGCCGTCTCGAATAAGCGGAAATCAAACCGCCGTCTGGAAAACCCAGACCGTCGTCTCGAATTTGCGAGTGACGAGACCACCGTCTGGAAAATCGAGACGGCGGTCTCGTCCTGGCGCTGAAACGAGACGGCGGTCTGGTATTCCCAGACGGCGGTCTCGTCCCTTCAAGGCGAGAAACTTTATTTTTTGGGCAAAAACCTTCCTATCTTGGTACGGAGGCCTAATAGTCTCTCCTAGTGGCTTGTTAGGCTTCGGTCGTCTTCAAATAGGAAGCTTTCTGACTTTATTTGGAGGTCGGGCAAGATTTGGGGTCTACAGCTACCCCCCCTTTACCCGACCAGTCGACTGCTGGCCTTTTGTGCCGAGGTGATCGACTGGAGGGTAAAGGAGTTGACCCTCTTGCCCGGTTTCCCTTCGGATGCACCGTCTTTGTGGCGGATGATCTTCTGGGGAGATGTTGTGTTGTGCGCCTCTGGGATGCTCCTTCGACGCGGTAGCTGACCCCTTCGACTTATGAGTACGAACCCTCATCTGGTTTGATGAGTACGAACCCCCATCTGGTTTGATGAGTACGAACCCCCATCTGGTAAGCCCCCTTCTGTAAGGCTTGATGAGTTCACACCCCCATCTGGTGTTTAGCCTTCGGATGCTCCATCTTGCGGTAGCTGATCCTTTGGCCGTGGTGGCGGCTTATTGATTTTGACCATGCGCCGATGTGAAACCTTGGGATGCTCCTTTGACGCGGTAGCTGACCCCTTGGCTGACGAGTATGAACCCCCGTCTGGTTATGTGCCTCTGGATGCCCCTTCTTGCGGTGGCTGACCCTTTGGCGATGGTGGCGGCTTACTGATTCTGATCATGCGCCATTGTTGAGATGTACTTTCTTTGTTTTGGTTTGGTCGTCCGGTCTGTGCCGGGGATTCTGTTGGTGTTCATCCAACTTTGTTGCTTGCTGGGGATTCTTTGTTTCGATCCTTTTAGTAGTGATCACTCGACTTTGCTGGTTGTCGAGGATTTTTTATGAGTGCCTCTTATGTAGGCAGGAATCCATTGAGTTTCTGGTAATGCCTCTGAGTAGGCAGATGCTTCATTGGAAGTGAAGACTTTTGGTTTCATTTGTTTTGCCTCTGACTAGGCTGATATGGGGATACTGGCTCTTGCTTGCTTGCCAGGTCTTGCCTATGCATAGGCAAATGACATTCTGAGGATGATTCTGAATTTTTGCCTTTGTAGTAGGCTCACTGGGGATGATCCTTTTTTATTGATCCACCGGGGAATTGGTTGCCTTCCCGGGGATCTAATTTTGATTTTTCCTTTGAGGGGATGGAGTTTTGACTCCTTGTTGGATGTTGTTGGTATGAGATGGCTTTGCCGATACTCTTGTTTCATTGGAATTTCCGATTCCTTCTTTTTTGGTGATTTTCCCTTTTCTGAGGTGACCCCCTTAGGGATTTTATTGATAACCTAAAAGTTAGGGTTGATTTCGCCTTTTTTCGCAATTTATCTCTTTTTTATCGCGATTTTGAAATCTGACTTTTTTATGGGGATAATGCGTAAG